CCTGTACTTTGCTGGCTTAATCTCACTGACAAATGATTTGAAACGACAAGCAGCCTTATTGCCACTGAAACCGCTCTTCATATACAGCATCAGTATGTGTATTGGATCAACTACCACCAAGTAAAACCGCTTTGTCTCGGTTACCCTATGCAGTCGCTGCAGCCTCTCCCTTCCCCGGTCTCATCAGTTTCAACTGCGGAGATTGTATCAACCGTGTCCACAGGCCCAGAGGTTTAACCAGTAGTCAAGACAACACACTGGAAAAAGTTGCTCCAATTTCCCGAAAATTCTCAAGCCCGCAAGAGGCGTGAACCAGGCAGCATTCACTGTCGCTCAAATGAGATCCAGTGGCCTCTCCCATAACGGACTTTTGGCCTTATTTATGGACGTGGGATAATGGGAGCGAAATACCGCGACCCTTGTCTGTATTGAGGGCGTCTGTCATCGCTTTTGATAGGTCCAGGCCAACCACATTTGTTTCACTAAAGTTTTCTAGATGGGCGTGATATAATAAATCAATTTGGATCGATGGTACCCGTCAGTACATTGTTGGGGCCAGATAGCAAAAAATGTACGGGAACCAAAAGGACAAATAAAAATTTCCACCCCGAAACAAAAATCCATGAGAAGAACAGGGACAAGATCAACATCGCACTTACAGAACCAGGTAATTTCAAGGTTTTATTTCGAAACGCAGATGACAGCGCCCTTCATGGCAATAATCCACAAAAGTAAGTGATTCGAGGAAGCTGTGTACACTGGTACATAGCAACATTCAGAGACCGAGAAATTCGAGGGATAAATTGAGCCACGATTTCTTATATCATAACCGAAGGCGTTTGGGGCTCACATATGGGTTTAGTAAGGCAAGGAATGAAGGAAATCAGAAATTGCGACTGAGTACTCTAGCCAGACTTCAAAATGATCAAACTTTCACTGGCATTTCCGATAGCCGAGCCGTACTTTCATCTTTTGCTTTTTCGACCATGGATGAACATGTGTTACATGCAACAAAGCAGTCAGCGTGTGTCAAGGGACAAAGTTGAATCCACCAAAAGCTATTTTCTTCTGTACCAGCCTCAGATAAGCACGGCTAAACCAATCATGGAATAAACGTTCCCCTGGTTTAAAGAGCTGAATTCTAAGAAATACTTCAAGACAACGTTACAGTTTCTCAACAAAACGTAAACGGCACTGCAGAGCAAATCCTCAAGAGAAGTGCAAAATGGTATCACCAGAATGTATGACAAGAGGGGAAAGTGATTTTTGAAACAGGAAAAGCATGATAAAAAGGATAAGCAATGATCCGAAAAACCAAAGAGACAGAGGGGACTCCAGTGTAGTGTAATGGACGAGAGGTTAAAACTAGATCAATGGTTTGATAAGACATGTCGATGTGCTCAGCAACTAGGGCCGGTATGCATACACGCTGACTGATGACTCTGCCAACACGTTCCACAATAATAAATGATTAAATTATTCAGCTGTAACGCCCTTTCAGTACTTAGCTGCCATGCCACCCGAAAGAAGCACGAGGTCTGGGATATTGCCAGATTGCCCAAGCCTAGACAAGGAAAGCCGAGAGGCAGAGGTCGGGTTCGAACCACGGACCTTCCGGTCAGAAAATTTGTGCTCTAGCCACTAAACCATCTTGCCCCCACATAATGTATGGGAAGAAAACGAGAGCCACTCGCCAGTAAAAATTGAAATTGTCGAGGTCGGCCAATGTTGGTGTCCAAATTTACCTTTCAAAAAATAGAAAATAGGAGACGTAGCATTGCCTTCCAGAGGTTAGCACAGTAAGATGAGAAGCAGATATTGTCTGGTTGTGGCAAATGGGTAGGGTCACCAAACCCGAAATTCGGGTCAGGATATGCGATGAAGGATAAGCTATAATGAACCGAGATGGAGCTTTAGTCTACTCCGCTGATATTGCAATATAGGCTTTCAAAATCCCACGAAGGAGAAAAATGAGTTGTCCCTGAAGACTATTTTGCTTCGTGTATATTCAAAAAACCCGCATCCCATTTCAAAGACTTGGACAGTGTTACTCCTAGGACGACAGAATGAGCCGTCTAAGATCTGTCGTATGAGTAAGGTACCGGATCCACAGGGTCACAATGTTCTGTTGCTGCATGATGATCGTTCCGTAATCAATTAAATGGGTCAGCCGAACTGTAGATTCGGGCGCAGTCCAGGGGAGAGTAGCCGGAAAGAAACAAAAAAGCTTATGCTCACCAATTTCTATAGTGAACGTAATTGTTGATGTCCACGCAATGTGCTTGAAATGTCTCTAGGGATATGGTGAAAACTGGCGGGAATCGACCGCGCTCCAAGAATTCAACATCGACGTTGAAATATCGGCTAAATTATAATCTACTTTCAACATTTGAGTAGCTAAGCTAGAGAAACAAGTTTACGCAGCGCTGGCTGTTGAATGCAGTATTTTCTGTATTTTTTTTCTATTTTTTTCAGTATTTTCTGATTCCCGTTAGTGTTTTGTAAAAGTTTAGGTTACCACGACAAAACGCTGCGGAGATGTTTGGCTGTTAGCGGAATTTTTCGAATGACTATGACCCTCTGTCGAAGGCCTCGAGTTGCGGACATTCCCGTCATTCACCTGCATTCGTGCTTCGTCTGTTCATCGTATGTAGGAGACTCAAAATCTTTCGTGGTTCACACATCTGCTAGACAACGAGTTTCCGATTTTTCAAGTCATATTGCTGTTATTGTTAGTGGTATACAAGAATGCCGAGTTTTATGTGTACATCTTCATCCTTAATAGTAGCACCAGAGGAGAACAATACAAAGTTCTAATGATGAAATGTCCACATTATCAATCTGCAAGCAAATCTTGAAGAACTTTGGTCACGAAAAAGAAAGAGGAGTTTACCTGACCATGCAGAGAAATGCCAATATTTCTAGGAAGAGCACCAAGCGAGGGAAAATCTGTGGTGCCCCAGTTTTGTGGTTCCAGTCCCTTGTGAACTATGTTTATTATCCCAGTGGCATATGTTTATGACTGTATGTACGATCCGGCTTCAAAGATATCGATAGTGATTTCAAGTAATGGGAATCTTTATTGGCTCAAGAAATACTTCCATCGAGTGGTCATACGCCCATGAACTATTTCCACATCATCATCCATGCATATGTATATACCACACATAGGGTTTACTACAGAAAGTAAGAACTTCACAAGCACAATTCCTCATTGGAAAAATGAGACCGCCTTTGCAAGCTGCAACTGACGATAATTCAGGATATTCACTTCCAATTTCAAGTATGTGGTGACCTGAAGACCTCACTTACATGAACAAACTGCTGCCAGTAAGAACTCACCCAAATACTGTCACCCCATCGGAAAAATCATAGTACCAGGGAGTGTTTATCCCTGTCCTCTGATGATCAACAAGGTTTGCTCACTTTGTTGTGAGTCTGAAAACGGGTCAACTGAAGCCTGTGGATGAAAAGTGCTCGTAAGTGATGGTTGGATCCCGTGAACATCAGTCATTTTATTTAACCAATTAGGCCTGGTAGCCATTGGCAGCGTCTCGAAGACCAGCCAGGATTGGATTCCGCTTACCACAGCCAACAGTAGCTAGAGAATGAACAGATAGGAACCTTGGAGAAGGACTAAATTACGGACGTACTCGATCAGTCTGTTTACGTTTAGTCGAAATCCTGCTTCTTCGATTACTAAATACCAAACTAAGAGGCCTTTAGCTGGACTGGCCTTAGTCATTGAAGCTAGTACAATACATCAGTTGGCTTCTCTTGAAATGCTGATCAATACCATGTCATTGTTATAAAAATACACGAGCTGAACGCTTTGTCTACCCTGATCCAAAGGGACCATTTGGGCATTGTCTGCTTTCCCGATAGAAGTTGAAGTTTGGGTATTGATTTGTACGTTCGTTTACTAGTTAGGTACTATGATATACAGGAGCGTTCAATAGCCTTTGGATTGTTCACTAAGCTAGGCAATATAATTGCAGAAGTTTCATCACCGATCGAAGTGACTCCAACTTCGTTGCTGGGGGACGGAACGTGGAGGGGTAGTTCGTCCATGCTTCGTTCCCATAAAGCGCATTGACAGTGGCGGTGAAACGTTTGTAACTTACCTAGCTCAGTAAATAATCCAACGACCATAAATGGTCAATAAGCTCCTACTATTTTCCTTAGAGTCCAAATGTTTTCAAGGTCTCATCCAAGGATTTCCCCTTTTACAGCATTCACAAATAAACGAGACAAAATCGATGAAGGAAGTGTGCAAAGGCATTACGTCTTTTGATATAAATGAACTTGCCCTGCTTGTGCGCCGTCTTTTCGATGCGGGCGGTTACTGTGTGGCGGCTTAGGAACACTAGTTCAAAAGTCGGCGGAATAGGCAACTCCAACGGGAACTACACTCTTCTTTGAATGGGTAAAGGGTGGTGGAGCTTTTGCGGGATTCCCGCCGCTCTCACCTGATGGCTGTGACTGAAAACCAACTTGTTTTCAGCAGATACGCCACCTTTCGCTTTCAGTGAGCCTGTGAAAGACAGGATCAGGAGGCACTGGATGTCACAAATACCCGGGCAATGTCGCGATGAACTTTGCAGTGTTTGCTCACGATTTTGAAGATTAGAACAAGAGGCCATAGAATGAGGCCTTATTCTCCACCTCGTACGGAACAAATAAATTCTGTCAGGGAAATTATCCGGGATTCTCGATTTCCTTACTGTAAGCTGGATATAGCCTGTCCAGATTCAGTACGTCTTCCCAATTTGACAGTGATATTTCACGTATTATCAGTCTTTCTGATGGACGACTAGTTTTCAAAATTCATTCAACAGTACACATTGTTACCAGAAGCTGATATGTAGAATGCTAAGTGAGGGAAATTGGTCCATATTTCCAGATGGCATTCTTGTAACAGGATTGCTGCGCCGACCTATTCCATGATGGTTCATTGAAAACTATCCCCCTCTGGATGGTTGATCGAAATAGGTCGAGACTATTTTCAGTGACTAACGTATTCCACACCTCTTTCACGTCTTTCNCTAGTTAGAGTCGGAGGATCTGTGAGCACCTCTGCAACAATCGTGTCGATTCTCTCATCATCAATGGAGGTCACTTACCTAAGCAATATCCGGTGGTCGTTTGATCTTATCTGGTAGGTCACGCAGTGAATAAAGTCAATTTCACGTGTTTTCATCATTTATCCATACGTACGACGGTGAAGCACCAGTGTTAACACTGATGTTGCTGTTGCTGATGATGACTCATTTGTCCACAGCGTTGGACGACTACTATTGGACTCTGGTAGTTCTCCGGGATTAATAAACTGACGCCTCCCGACTATATGCCAAGTACTGAGAGAAGACAGACTGTCGTATGTGTATGCACTTAGCGTAGACAAAATTTAGCTGCACACTCAAGGAACAATACTAAAATTGCGGTTCCCTGCTGCTGGTTGATATTTCGACGACCGATTGGTTGATCAATGTTCGGTGGTCGTTAAGTTACACGGAGTTTATGGTTGATTCACGGCCTGTTGGATAAAACGATCCAGGAATAAGTGCTATTGGAGTCAAATTCACCAAAGCAAGACCACATTGGACAATCCGTCGATGCCCACGGTCAACTGTTGGGAGACCGGAGTGAGTGGATTTGAGGCCAACCTCATCTAACCCGTCTTTCTTCGAGATAAGGAAACGTCGCCGCTCACATAAATATTAAAATTCTGGAGGTCTAAACGAAGCTTCTTAATTCCTTCCACATCCCTACCGCAAGCACTGCAAATTTACTACAAACACCGTCTTGTAGCGTACGGCTGATCGTAGTATGTTTGGTCCTCTGAATGCACACGTCATGCAAGCTCCACGGCAGCACAGAATGACGGTCCTAGTATGGGTTAAGGCAGTCGTACTAGAGATTCAACTAGTGCAGTTGTGTCCAACCGCAATGGGGTGATCACGGCACAATTGTTGGGAACCGGTTCCTTGGCCAGGAAATATGGGCAAAACAGAACCGATTCACAACTCTTTGTTATTCGACTGTGCAACATGGGTAGAACGCGACCGGATACCCAAGAAATGATCATCCAATACCGGTTACATACCGGGCATTTCATGTCAGAGCGTAGATAAGTAACCATGAAATAACAAAAAATGGCTAATTTGTGAACAGCTTGTGGTAATTCACCCATGGTAGTTTATACAGCCGCGAACAAAACCCCACATCAACGGTATGTTGTGTGCAGATTGCGGTTAAAAACCCGCAAAACGCGGACAGAGTTTGCTTAATTAACCAAGAATTACCTACAAAATGATTACCATGTGATGCCCTGTTTGTGGTAGGTAGACTAACTAGCCAGTACAGTTGAACATTCGCGAAATCCTCATCATATGCTTACCCAAGTCACACAAACTCTACTCACTCTGGCTAGGCCACAGTAAATAATGTACCGGAAAGCGCTCAAATAGGTAACCTAGGTAAACGCAAGTAAACAAGACTACGGAACTATTCAACCGAATAGGCTGAGGAAGAGGTCACATCGAGGATAATAACAGTTGATTTATCGGCCGGTCAGTGCAACAGAGGTAAACATTAGACGTTCAGCTGTGGTTATCAACTCGAACAGTAACAACGTGGTATGAGTGGCATCATTGCCTTCCCACTGCTGATGATAAGTATATCACCAGATACGCACTGTCAGTGTGATCCAATTTAAGCTACACAACACTTTTCATTTGGTTTAGTTGGAAACCAATCAATGATGACGTCCTTCCTGAACAAGTGAAATAGTTAATTACCCTAGCGATGATAGTCTCTACTCGTCGTCACGATCTCGGTGTACCAGTTACGCTTACCTTCATACGAACGAACTAACGCCTAATGTTGAAAATGAAACAGTTCGCCATGACATTTCTTCGTGACCTTTTACTGTGAATTTTGTAATATGCACGTTATGGAAGCACCAGGGGACAGTGATTCTCCGAAGGCACGTGTTCACGACAATTTCTGTGGATGGAAAACAGAAACAAAGCTCATGGGCCAAAGCTCAGTAAGCAAGGTTGCACATCACCAATACTTACATATGAATCAATCAAACTGACAGACACCGTATACTACACTGGCCTCCTTTTTGAAAAACACCGTCCCCGGTGTAGCATGGCCTACGTGAACCGGCCGGTGCTAGTGGTGTGGTGCGTGAGGCTGATCAGCGTGTGCTGAGGTTGCTGTATCTGGGGCTGCGTCTAACGTGTGTGAGTGAGCAACTTGCTACCTCTGAGACCTGTATGCACATATGTAGAGCCAGGATCTTTGTGGTAGGTCTACTCTGTGTGTGGTAACCATCCTGGCGTGGTCGCCAGTTATATAATATTCACGCTATGGAAGCACCAGGGGACAGTGATTTTCCGATATTTACACATGAATCAATCAAAATGACAGACACCGTATACTACAATTTATGTACCACCAGAAGATAGAACGAAGAACGCAGCGATGGTTTCAGCACGCACTTCAGGATGGCTGAAGTTAACATGGAAGTGCCGTATAGTTAGTCACCTAGTTGAGAGGGACGTGTCGATGTCAGTTGTATAAACCATTTTAGAGTCTATCTACCTAACATATTCGTTAGAAGAACATTGCTCAATGCCTGTGAACACGAAGGCAATAAGGTGAAGCACCGAACGATGATGTCCACGCACTAAAGTGATGCACATTCAACAAAGCGAGCTGTCTGGTATCCACTCCATGTCGGAGAAGATTAGGTGCGAGAGCACCTGGCCACCATACTCTTTGGATGGTGGTAGCATAAGAAGTGCTGTTTGTTCCTGTCTGGAATGCGAACACAAGGATGGCGTAAACTCCAATACAGCATGCTCTATGGATGGAAAACTGTTTACTGAATACTTTGGAGCATTCGGACGGGATAATACTCAATATTACGCCTACGGACGATAGAGTATCCACTTCATCAGACCACAATGGCGAATAATAAACGTCGGGAGTGTAATGTAATGCTATTAGCCTCTAATCAAGAGCATATATGTTGACGTCAAAGTGGTGAAACATGATACCTTACAACAGAGTTCAGGAAGAAACATGTCTCGAGAGCAGACAGTTCTAATCCAACTAGATCACAAAATGGCGACAGATGACTTGGTCCATTATGACGGACGTTCACAAGTGACAAAAAACAGGATGCATGAAGACAAGGGATGATCTAAAACATGTGTGAAGGAAAAAGGACGATATCAGCGTCAACAGAATTTGGTTAGTGATGTGCATAGGCGCATCGAGAGGTCATGGGGAACTGTCAAATATCACGCAACGATTATTGGAGTTTGGAATAAATCGAAGGACGGAACTTGTAGTGAATAAACTTCAAAATGATGATGGGTATACAACTGATCCCGGTGATTGCCAGAACCCTCCAAAAGAATCCAAAGGTACGTAGAAAATTTGGATCTAAAACAAGAGAGCACGCGAATACATCAAATTAGTCAGTTTGAACAATGTTAGTTTTGTTGCCGAAAAAAATGATCTCCTGTGGAACGTAAACCCCAAGTTGGCATACCCTAGATACTACGAGGTTGTCGGTACCAAGGGTATTGGTGAACTAGATCATTTTTCACGCTTGAGATTGGTACTCTGCAAATCCAACGGGAAGCAGAGACTGTCAAAGGTTAGTGTTGCAACCTGCGAAACAACCATAACTCGAGTGATTATGTTCCTGTTCACGTGGTGAATTTTGTGGTCGTTCTGTGTAAGGTGAATCCACTGACTGACAGCGACAGTGGGTAACCTTAGAACGCGCACACATGCAAAATATAGGCTCTGTTGAGAAAACCGCGTATCCAGTACCGTTTGGCCTGGACAGCTTTCCAAAGTGGGCAGATGTCCAGAGTTGTGATAAAAAGATAAAAAAAAAAGATAAAGCGTTCAGCTGTAGCACCCTTCCGGTGCCTAGCTGCCATGCCACCCGAAGGGAGCACGAGGGCTGGGATACTGCCAGGTTGCCCAAGCCTAGACAGGGGAAGTCGAGTGGCGGAGGTCGGATTCGAACCGCGGACCTTCAGGTTAGTAATCCGCGCTCTAACCACTTCGGCCATCTCGCCGAATCAAATTATCCATTTGTTGCTGCCGTTGTATTTGAGCGACATGGAGATACCTATTAGGCCGAACATATTATAGAGCAACACCGACTGTGGTTAACTCATACACTTCCAAAGGGATGTTAGATTTTTTACAATCAAATTGTGCTAATTCGGGCACTCCTCAAAACGCCCACTGATATAGCAGCAGAGTAGGATGTTCCTGAGGAATGTACGGTTTAGTGGGGGGAGGAACACTTGATAAGCAGCAACACGAAACGATGCCACCGAGGTTCAAAATAATAAACAGCTCTGTCATCGAGCACACAAAGCGCGACTGAGTTAAGCATTCAATGAGCGTTTGCCGTGGTATTCCGGACTGAAATTATTACGATCCCACTGGAATGCACAAATTGGGCGTAGCAACCGCAGAGTTTACCTATTTGTCACGAATCACCACTATGGGAGGCGAATTTCCCAAAAAAGATCACCAACAGAACTGATCTGTTCTTCCAATTCCTCCTGCCTACTGGAATTTAGGACAGTTTGACAAAGCTTAAACGAGCAACGCATTATGGTGCATAAGCAAATGCACTGAAAATTCAGCAATTGTGCCTTATCATCGTCATCGCAGTCGACAGCAATCCATCGGGAGTAAATACTGGTGCGCTATCGTCGCGCAAGCATGAGGGAAGAGTGGAAAAGAGGGGAAAATTGACGGAAAAAGCCCTATATCACTGAGAAAGCGAGTATCCTCAAGTTCAACTTAAAGAAGGGGAAACTGTCCTAAAAACTTCTTGTAGAGTCCGATTAGCGTTCCAAAGTTAATCAAAATCATCATGCACCAGCGGTAAGTGCGACATGGCTACTTGCTTGTGTTAGCTTTTCCACTTTATGAGCAGGATTCGCAGCATAAGATTTGCTAATCAGCTTTAGTCAGCCGTGAAACGAGGTCTCATGGCTGAACGGAATTCCGCAGTCCGAAAGCTTTCAGCAGAAATTGTTACCTGCGAGCAATCGGACGAGCTAGCAGGATGAAGCGAAAGGGGTTCCATCCCTGCTGCTACGGGACAACATACCCATAGTAAATGTACACAAATCGGTAAAGCGATAGAAACAAACAAATACGTCCTCACATCGTCACAATCGAAACCCGAAGCATCATTGATCCAGTGGTTAGAAACTAGTGCCAATAGGACACTAATGGGTGAGCTGTTGAAAAAAAGTGACAAATGCCGGTAGGGGAGGAGCTATTTCCAAGAACGACTTAACAGAGATCGCTTTTCCTGTATATTTCGTTATATAGCGACTTTGATGTTAATAAAACAGTTGGATGAAATCCGCGTACCAAAATCATCCTGAACTTTGTGGACAGATTATTACAAAATTCACATGAGGCCAGTATGAAAAGAGATGGTCGGCCTTTGACAGGTACCATGGAAAGCTGGGGCATACTGACGGAGAGCTTTGTGAGCCAAAACACTCGAGTTCCGAATTGTGCGGAGAACAACTTTACCGTAAATCGGTTGCTTGAATCGTAACTAGAAGTCACAGGGAGCCGAGACCTGATAGGGAGTAAACAATTGATAAGGTCAGGTGGGCCACGTGCCCACCTGCCCACGTGTTCATTCTAAGCAGATCAACACAAGATACTTGCCAAGCTAACCAACAAAATGGGGCGATACTGTTACAATTTGTCAAATCGATGAGGCGGTAGCGGTACTCAGTATTCGCAGGGTGGAATTGAATTTTCGAAAGCTATGGCGTGTCCCTGATGGACTAAAGCAATCGGGCGCCAGAGTGCTAGTCTAGAATTTTGAGCCCCATTTAGGCATCCCGGGGTTTCAGCGATGCTGGGAAATTATTCCACAAGACGTTTCCGCCAGAGGTATGATTGCTTCAGTGGACAATGAAATTTGGTGAGGTACAAAAATATGAACGTAGATCGGGATGGTTTTTGGTTTGATCATATACGCAACAAAATGCAACAGCTTGGCGTACAAGTTTTATTCCACTCGCAAAGGTTTTGCAGCAAAGAGCACTGTGCGGCTAAAGGGCCCCAGCAAGAGCTCCAGATTTCCAGAAGTAGTTGATGAAACTCGTAAATTCATCGCGCCTAGGAAAAAAAAACTACCGAATCTGAACGAATGGCTCAAATAAAAGGCGTGAGAGAGAGCACACCGACGTTCCGGGGATACCACTACCAATCGTTTAGGCTGAAAAATATTTCTTACGAGCCAAAACTAGTAGTAACAAAGGAAAAGACAAACAGATTATGCGAATCAAAAACCGATAGCACTTTTTCAAAACTAAAAGAAATCAAGGTCAGCTGTTGATGAAGCTGTCTGTCGTACGAACAAAATAAGTCTACATGCATTTTGGGTGTTTAGGAAATGAAAGTACGTCTACAGAGCGTAGATCATGCAGGTACCTAACTCACCGAATTGTTCCCGCATCACAACCAAGGTCAGCGCGTAGATGGCCAAACTGATAATTTCCGCCAGTACCATCAACAGGTGCCACGTCCGGATCGTAATTGCGACCATAAGGAGTTCGGTCAGCAGGAGGGAGGTGAAGGTGATGGCAACCACATGGATGAACTCATCTTCAAATAGTAACAGCGCACCGTACATGATGACACCACCTGAGGGCAGACCACAGCAAGACAGGAGGTTGGAGAAAATCAGACAGTAACCAAACTAATGCATATAGAAGCGAGCCCAAAACACTGAGAAACTGACCTTGATATACGCTAATGAGTAGCCAGACAAAGAACGACTTGAATGTGATCTCGCGACCCTTTTGTAGTGTTTTATATAGCTCGGGATAAGTGAGTGCAATACGGTCGGGAACATCCTTGTCTAGTACCAGTGAGAACACAGGAAACATTGTGAACACGGTGGCGTAGCCGACCAACAGGAAACCAGGAAAGAGGGAGACGGAGACAAAGGAGAAGACGGCGGAGAAGACGGCCTGCATGACGGTGATGATACAGCCTACAAAAAAACGGACACACGATCGACGGATTAGACTTACATGAAGAATGAGTGTTGCCATCATAACTGGTCAAGCAACTAACCTTTAAGGCGAGCGTAAGATCACCTGAATTAAAGAAGTTTAGAAGCACGTACCCCGATGAATGACGAACAGAGCAAGGGCTGAAGTGCTTTTGTAGCAGTTTCTCCCATGAACCAGGAGCAAACGAGCCGTGTGACGGAACTGAGTGAGACTGAAATCTGAAGCAAGGCTAGCTTGTCTGCCTTCTTTGCCCTCTAGACCAAGACCCACGTCCGCCGCCTGAATCATACCCACGTCATTCCCCCCATCACCAATCGCAGCTACACGGGAGCGTGTGTGCATACGAAGAAGTCGAACAATTTGGGTTTTCTGCGTAGGCGAACACCGACAAACAACCACGGCAGGTGACTGGCGAGCGAGTTCAATGAATTCGTGTTCGTAGTATCGTAGACAAGTCTAAAGAAGATAATGGTTGTAACAACGTATAAGCTGCTTTGACAGTCCAAGAAGCATTTTAACAAGTTCTAATCCAGATTTTGTTTTTATAGTTTTGTATAGGACAGATATGGAGAATATCAAATATCAGTAAATGAAGATGAATGGTGGATATTATCAATTCCGTGATACGGCATGCTGAGGAGATCTTAGCTCTATTCCAACCGAAGACATTTCCGTTTTTTTATTAATACTACAGCGGAATCCAGGGATTCACGACCCGATCAACACTCACTTCCATTGCAATGCCTGTTATTAGCAAAGCATGGTCACAGCGTTTTCGGAATGAATTGAGTTCGAAATGGGCATCCATTCTGCCTGTAACATTCTGGAACACATAGACAGGCATGTTACGAGCCACTAGACGAGAAGATTTAGCAATACACTCCGCAGTTTCCAGTTTGTCCCCGGTTAACATCCATACACGGATTCCAGCATTGCGCAAAGCCTCCAGAGTAGGACGCACCTGGAAGGAAGATAAGAAGCGATAGATAAAGGACACCAGGCAATCCATGTATATCCACCGGCAGAGGCGAGTCGAAAACAGTGAAAACTTACACCTTCCTGTAGTTTATCCTCCACGCCGGTGAGGCATAGCACCTCTAATTCTGTCTCCAGCGTTGCTACGACAGCTTGCATTTTGTCTACACGTTCTGTCACTGACATCTTTGCAGTATGATATCTAAAAGCAAGATGGACGTACATGAGTGACAAGATATAACCGTGCAGAGAATTGGCAATGTTGCAAAATATGGGCAGCTAAGTTGCGATGTCTGAATGTTTTTTTCGCCGCCTTCAGCGAATTACATGGGGAAACCAGACCGCGACATCAAGGTTCTCCGAAAAGTGAGCACTGCTGGATTCGAGTGTAATGTGATGGAAAAATAGCTCTGCTGGCCAGGTCACTTGAGACGAACGGCAGGGACCCATCTAGAAACAAATTGTCCACGGTCACTTGAAGAATGGAGTTCCAGATCTGAAGCATTCGAAATTTAGCCACTGGAATAGCCTTCAGGGAAGTTTGGAAAGCTGCAACTTCCACCTTAGATCATGAGAAGACTTCGTTTTCAACAGAAATTTGGAGAAAGGTTAACTGTGCGAATGTGAGAAACGTCGAGACATGGAACGCGCATCTGAATAAAACTCAAAGTGGAATCCACATAAGCGTGTACTTTTGCAACGTCATCAGAAGGTAGGTTCACCATTGTTTCCTGAGCCAGCTTGTCTTCAATTAGGTAGCACAAAGCCGAAGTTCCATGACGAACGAGATCATGACAACCGATAAATACTTTCATTAACTAATGAAGACGATGAGTTCATTTGAGCTGTGCCATGGACGTCGGCAAGCGGAATTCCACTCCGCATTCGTTAACTTAAGCCTGTATCGTGTAAAAATATTAGTAGCTCGATTACGTTTGGTGGTAGACGAGGTGGCAGTTGGGTATGTCAGCTGGTTTGCAAACAGTTCAGCACCAGATGTGCAGTTACGTGGGGGCCCCACAACTTTTCTGTTACTAACCGCTCATTCGGCGTTCGTAGGTAAAAGGCTAATTGAACGCGGTCACCCTACAAAAAAAAGCACCATAGGAGCGCACGAACGCCTGCAACTTTGTATAGAAAGCTACATCAAAAGCGAATGTATTCGTCCGGCTAAAGCTCTTGGATTCTGTAGTCGGCTGCTATGTACTGATTTGAACGGAGTGCACTCTGGGAAATTTTCCAGTCAGGGTACATTACGAGGGCGAGTAACAAGATCACACCGTCCGACCGAGGGCCAAGCAGTGTAGCTTACCCGAATCACTAATTACCACATAAGTTGGAGTAGGAAACTGAGCATCTCCACGATTGGTGAGAGGATCGCACACTAACACATCGTTGAACACCACACCTTGTACAATGGTGCGGCACATCGAAGCTGGTCATATTACGTATTTGGACTGCGAACAATTTCGAGAGTTCTGTAGTGCGGGTATTTCCGTCTGAAGCAGAATCACTAGCAAAGGGCAGGGATCGAGAATTTCTCGCTTGATCGGAGTACCTAAAAGTGAATTACGACATGTTTAACTTTTTTGGCAATTCAGATGGATGCACAACAATGCGTGCGTGTCATTTGAAGAGATAACCCCGTTTTCGGCAAGTACCACGCAGTCTTGGATGGTTTTGGGGTCGGTCACGTCGCATATCGGATGTTTTTATTTACTTTTTCGAGTATCTAATGTGTGGCTAATGAAGCCGACGTAAATACGCTCTGTTTTATTTGCATTAAGGCAATCGGAATCGCAAAACGTATAAACACGGATAGCCACCAACACTTCTAGCTGATCGTTTGAACCACTCATGTCAGTCAAGTTTCTACTGGAGTTCAGTAATTGAAGAGTGCAACGTCTAGATCACTCAAGGAAAGAAACTAACACCGCATCCGAAGAAGCTAAATCCGATGCATAGAAAGAAACGAAGTGTTCATGCCGTGTCAAGTCAATAGGAGCGTTACACACCCCCAAGGTGAATTTTTAGCATACGAATTTACAGCGGTATCACATCAGTCATAAAATACTGTTTAAAAAACGTCTGCTCATTGAACGCCTTAAAAAGTAGACGAGATGCAAGGTTATTATACAGGGTGACAGTGACAACTAGAAGAAAAGAGCACGCGATGATCTTAGCCTCAGAGAGAGAGAGAGGGTGTGTGTTGTGAAAAGCGTTGCAAAGAATCTACTGGATGAAGATGGAACAAGTATTAAGATGCTTGCTGAGGAATCCGGTCAACAAAATCCTTGAGATTCCACTGAATCTAGATCTGACAAACAGTCTCAAGAAGAGGACAGGAGAACAGAAAGCGCTCTGTTCATGGTTCATGGTCACTGAGTGGCTTATTGCACAGGTGCGGAAAAATATAACATCCTGGCGCTTAGAGTGTTTATCTAACTAGTTAACAGCTTCGCTCGGAACAGTCAGCAGCTGCACATTTGTTCCAAGGTGTTGGTTTGGGCGGGTCACTATGTCATTAATGTGCTTAAACTGGATGAGAAGATGGGGGGTAAGCATGTCCCTTTCCCTTGGAAAGGAGAAAAGCTGTAGACCAACACTGATGAACTGTGCACGGTCAGACATGTGTGTGAAATGATCAAAATTGATAACACCTACCTCGCGGCAAAGTCATCATACTGTTCATTAGTGAGTGATCGCGATGCTACCACAAGCGTCCGAAGTCCTTCACGGGCTAAATTGCCTGCCTCATCTTCAAGCCAGTCGGTATATGAAACCAGTGTGCTCATCACAGTGTCTGCGCCTTTCACATAGAATGTAATCTTATTGGTTGCACGATCACGCACAATGATGCCCATCCGTTTGGAGTCCGATGAGAAGGGGAAGAGGTTCAAAATGTCGTAGGTCAAAAGCAAACCTGATCGAGAAAGCGGGAAGGTGAGAGGCAATCAGTAATAGAAACAGTGCTTCATAGTGAAATCATATCCTAGTGTCTAAAAACAACGGGTCACAATAAACGGATGATACAGTGGTAGGACGCGACGAAAAACCTAGGCTGACATTTAACGCAGCGTCATTCAGTCCAAAGTGCTCCTTTCCACATACAGACATTTTAGAAATGTAAAATACTGGCAGCTTTTTCATACCCTTATACAAGTGCATAAGTAGGTGAACTTGAATGGAACCTAAACGACCTAACTGATGTCCTCTGTCAAATAGTACACGGTCAGCAATGCGGTCCGTGCGATCTAAAAGTGACAATTGTACAGTCAAGTAGAGACCAACAAAATGTTGCATTTAAATCGACCATGGCGACGGAATAATAAACTCGATGCCTTCAATCCGCTTTACCCACTTCATTGAAAACGGGTATGGTGACGAACACTAAACACCTAACATCGCACCGGGTCTCATAAACGAGGGATTCAGCTGGATTCCAAGCGAGTCTTGAGCAAAACCAAATTGGTTTGCAAATGAATGTATTTCGGCAAACTGGTGGATAATTTCAAGAGGGATAGCGGGGCAACGTTTCGCTCTTGATACAAAATTTTCATTAGGCTCCACAAGTGGGTGGGTTATCGGGTTGGCCTAGTCTTGAAGCGGACGGAGAACCAATGGGCAAAATCTCTTCTGACTAGATCAGTATTGAATGCCTTCTAAAAGGTCTTGTCGGTTAGTGCGGGTGCCTCAATCTTACGGTCGATGGGCTGGAAAAATTAGAGACCATTTTGCTCAGGTTCGGGTCTTTGATCTTCTCGTCCAGGATGCCTCAGTTGACGATTCCTGTTTTGCGTCACTGATGGAATTTGTTGGTCTGTGAGTACGTGCTCAGACAATTCGGCTAGAGGGGGGGGGGTGAGATTACATGGAATTTCGATCGGCTCTGTCTATGAACTTTAGATCTAGACTACTACTGTCGGTGACTCATCTTCACTAATGACCGCACACCACAAGGTACAACCGTTCTCCATATGCATCTCAGTTCTATGCCTTCTATTCTATTCAAACTGAGACGCTTGGCGATTTCCACTGCCTCGGTCATTAGTCTCTGTGGCACGAATCATAATCCCTGCCACAAAATTTCAACAATTTCTAAGTCTATCCTGTGACCCTCGTCTAGTTTACGCTCCGCCATTGTTGAGTCTTTTAGTGCTCACTTGCGTTTCTGGCTGACCTGTTTATTTTTCTGTCCTGATCGAAGATTCTTCTGTAAAGTTCTTCATCCGTCTACTCTATAGAGACAGTGCAGTCGTTGAAGTTAACTTTGCATACACAGCCAGTTTCAATTTTCCGGGAGTCGATCCTTCAACTGCATGAGTGCGGAATGCAGAGTGCTTACCTTGTGGAACGACACTATTGTGTTATCCGTGTTTAAGACCCTTCGAATGACTTCGAATGTTCCTTGTTTATGTTGAATAGCATGCATCCCTGCAAAGGGTCTCGTCACAGGTGGGTGCATAGTGGCACCCACACCAACCGACGAGACCTTTCAACTGACATTTGATACTGATCTAGTATGCTAGTCGGAAGTGACCTTGTCGATTGTTTATTCCCCTTAGAATTCCATCAAACTGCTAACCTACTCTCTTGGCCTGTGCCACAAGCGAAATTTTGCCCAGCTCTAAACCCACCAATTGTCTGTTAGATCCTTCAGAAGTGATGACTTCTCAATTGTTCCGAAGTTTTCCAATGGAATCCGGGCAGTCCTAGGGAAACCGAGTGTCTAGGAACAATAATTTTTCTGCGCACTAATCTGTTCTGATCGATACCGCTTCACACAAAGAAATTGGTGATTTTTAAAGCATGGAGAAAATCAACCATGTAGTCTGTTTCGGAGAAGCATCATGAAACGGTCGACCTTCCACCAGCTGTATGGTTTACAGCAACGTTGCGCAAAAAGGCTCCGAAATCTGGTAGGAGACTCACAAGCTCGCTCTCTCACTGCAAACACATTGGCATGCAACGCAGAGCGGATTCATTGTGAAACACAATTCTTACGGTTGCGGAGACCTGAGTGGTTTGGAACACGTGGGTCCTACAGATGTTTGCAACGTAGTTGATCTTGAAAAGTAGGTGAAGTCAAACGTTTTCTAGGGACAGCGCTATTCACACCAAACACAATCACTGACACAAGACCATATTTGACGATTCCAGCTCGATTGGTGATGAAGCGTTTGCAACCAACTTGCCTTGCTCAGAGAATAAGCTAACGACCATGCATGCCACTTGAGCTCCCAACATTATCCTGAACAGCAATTCGAAGTGAATTCGTCACGAAGAGACTGGACCTTACGGTGGTGTGGTGTTTTGTGCGTCTCCCATTGGGCTATTCTGAGGAGTGTACGCATGACATTCAATGAACCTGCCCTAAAAGGTTGATTGATGGATCGAGGCTGACTAAAACAGTTTTCTGGTCTTCCAGGTTGAGAGTTGAGACGTGTGGTGGGTTGCTCCTCGAAAAAAAGTAGATTCACTGACGACCTTCCGCTAAATACGATAGCCTTGCGGTAAGGTTTTTGAATCGAGGACGCTAGTAGCCCTCTTTTTTGGTGAAGCCAAACCAACCAGACCTAAACAAAAAGCATGATGTGCGGAGAAATTTTATTGGTTCGAGATATCTGTTTACCCTGGAAACGACCATACCCAAGCTTTTGTCAAGGCGTTTACGATGTCATGTGTTTTACGTCCGTGATTGAAAAGAGGAATTTGAAATATTGACATTCACAAGCTAGGTATTTTTTGTTTTCGGCAACCCTATGAGTAGTGGGTTACGTCCGGACAACAAAATTATTCACTGTTTGCGACAATGTGATCGAGGAAACATTCAAAATAAAGAACAACTAGTGCTTCATGTTCTCGGTGGGTAAGTTGCATGGGGACAACCTAAGAAACCAGCACTATCAAAAGAGCTTCAGGTAAACGACATAAGTAAAAAAATTGAGACAGGAAATTACGGACAGGCGGAGGCGAACGAATGCAGTGTCCCACCTGAACCGTTCTGAGGTCTTAACTTTGGACAAGGAAAATTCGTAACACAAAATAAGACAAGTCCCTCGCTGGTTTCACGTCTTTTCTTGAAAATAGCCGATACTAAGCAAAACGGGTAGAACAAATCGGAATATGGGAGAAAACTCGCTTGTCTCCCACGTTAGGTATACTGACGGCCATCATACTGCTTGTCCAAAACAGTGCACTTTAGTCATTATCCTCGTGTCGGGTTAGGCATAATTTTAGTTTTTACGTTCATTTGTGGCACCCTGCAAGACAGTTGCTCCATCCATGCCTCTGAGGAATGTGCATCGGGTATATCAACTACGTGACTGCGATTTCAATAGAGGAGTCCACGCCATCCAATGGTATAGCAGCACGAGTGCTGTCATGATAATGCGGTGCGGCCTGCGGTGGTTGACGGAAGGCCTTGAGGGCACTGTGGATAAGACAACAGCCATACATTTAGGCTACCCAGATTCAATCCCCTGTTGAACGCCCAAGACAACAGCTACCCAGATTCAATCCCCTGTTGAACGCTCTGAAATTGTTACTTGTTTCCGCCTCCATAGTTATACACAGATCGATTTTAAGAAAAAGAAGTCAACGAAATTGAAGTGCGACGTACCCCTTAAAGATGTACAAAATTTCTCATTAAAAGCTACTCTCCCGTTTAAGATTCCAGTTTTCACGTCGATGAGCACAAAACATATTGAGATTCCGTGAACATCAACGTCTTGAGCACTGTGCTACTGACAAAACCATAACCGTGCTTAATAAGCAGTTCGGAGTATCTGTTATGGCTGGACTCATTGTGGATATCCGTAAACCGGTATCCGCAGGTGAACAATATGTTCGATGACTCAGTGAGACGGTACGTGAAAAATAATAAACAGTGAAAGGCCAAATGTCAATCTCAAACGGAAAAGAAAATCACGAATACGACTTCGTTCGTTTGTACTTTTGCTGTGATGAGAAGTCGATTTCGATCGAAAGCTGCACCACATGCAGCCTGCTTGTAGCAAACGACGTATGAGAATTGAAAGTAAGGATTTGAGAAATGAGAGCACTGTGAGCTCCCATCATGGTGCCCGCCGGCAAACGTGTTAACGACAAGCTCCGATAAAGCAGTGGTACACGGACCCATTGATTCAGGTGATATATTTGTCTAAATGAACCCCAAAGTTGGCAACGTTCGGGAGTGTAGGTAGCTCGGGGACGCTGTTTGGTCTGTTCGCCGAGCTTGGCAGTCGGATTGCAAAAGGTTTCATCACCAACCGAGGTGACATCGTCAGTGCAGGGTTGAGTGGGTGAATTCCCCCTCTTTTGCCTGTGATTATATAGCTTCTAAACAGTATCCGGTATTTCAGGAAACGGTTTTCGCGTGGTTTGATTGGTCTGCTGTGAATCTGACGTGGTCTCAATCTCCTCTGTCTGGTTGGTTCGTTGGGCGCATTCAATTCGGCATTTCTGTGTGTGATTGTTCTGTTGCGATTCGGCCGTTTTGTCCTTGCTTTGTGGCGTGATTTTGTTCCCTTGATTGCCTGATTCAGTGGCCTGTTTTTAGTGAGTCTTCCTTTGATCCAATTAGGCCGTTGGTTGTTGTTAGGTTTCTTGGTTCGGAGTCCCGTGACTGTGTGGTTCTTTTGCTCATAACGGCTGATAGACTGGGTCGATGTCGATGTGTTTATTGATCGATTTTTGTGTGAAGTACCACGCCTCCGCAAATTCTCGTTCCCGTTTTGTTCTTGCGTGGGCAAGTATTTGAACATTGACCCAATTAAACTTGTGTCCTTCTCTCTCTTCATGAATTGAGACAAGTGACATTGGGTTACGTCTTCTGCTGGCAAGCTTGTGTTCGTGTGTTCTGGTAGCAAGTTTTCTTCCAGTTTGGCCAACATAGTGTTTGTCGCAGTCGTTGCACTTAAGTCTATAGACCACGTTAGTCTTCTTCAATGTATCCAACCTTCTCTTTGATTTCGAAAGAGTTCTTCTCAACGTGTTTGCAGTCTTGCAGGGACTGTAATTCCATGTTACCATAGATGTCGTGTAGTCATTTTCGCACGATATACGGCAGCGTAATCTTCCTCTGTTCCGGTTGTGTTGACGAATCAGCTTCGTGGTGGTCTCGTAAGGACCTCCATATGAAATTTCTCGGGTAGCCGTTATTTCGGAATGTGTCGTAGAGTCTTCGCTCTTCTTTTTTCTCCTGTTGTGTTGCAATGTGCCTCTGTTGTATCGTGGGTGGCCGTCTATTGGTTACGCCTGCGCTGAGCCTGCCAGACTACGCGATACGGAGAAGACAGAGAACTCGGTATACGGCTGCATTGTCAGGACAAAATATACAGAGCGTCTGCGTAAATATATAGGATGAAGAAATGGCCAAATATGGTCGTTCACTTGTTCGTTCTGTACAGCCAATGGCGGTGTTCCAGTCGTGAACAGTCTCAGGCCCACTCCGCTGGTCGTATGTTGCTAAGCCGTGTCTGGTGAGAGCCGCCAACTCACCTACTTTCCGGACGTGTCGTACCGATGGTGACCTTGGGGATGCGTCAGGTCTGCATGTGCTTTTTTTCCTGCCTGGGCGCGTCCTGCCAGTCTCCATCCGCTTGAATAGAGTTCGAACACAGTTCCGCTTGTGACAGTTCGGATGGTTGCTGTAGTAGTTCAGAATCTGGTGTATGCTTTTCTTTCCTGTTTGCAGTTAGCAGTTTGTTGTCCTTGTGACGAGCACATCTAGGAACTCTAATTTATTGTTTTCCTCCGTTTCCATTGTGAAGTGGATGCCGGGAAACACGCTGTTCGGAAGTTCCTCCGCTCGTGACAGTTCATCCTTACAATAGCAAATGTGTCGTCCACATATCGTATCCATATTTTTGGCTTGATACCTGGTAGTACGATCCGCTCCGATTTCTGTAGTGTAACTTCTGCGATGAGTCCAGAGATTGGTGACCCCATTGGCGCTCCTTTGATTTGTTCATAATATTCTCCATTAAACTCAAAGTAGGCTGTCAAGCGCAGATCTAGTAGTTCACATGTTTCTTCTCTCTCGAGCGTTCCGTTAATGTTTTCACGGTTGTCCAGAAGTTCAGCTACCGTCGTCCGTGCTGCATCTAAATTAACCGATGTGAACAGTGAGGCTACATCAAAGGACACCATTATTTCGTCCTCTTCGACTTTTTATGTTTTTAAGTCTCTCCAATTGTCTCGCATTGTTGATTGAATATTGGGACACATTGGTTTATTATTTCAGCCGCTACCATAGTTCTCTTGAAATGTTGTATGTGGGTGTTCCTGGTAGTGAGACGATTGGGCGTAATGGTACCATTGCTGTGTGGACCTTTGAAAGTCCGTAGAATCGGGCAACTTCGGAGTCGCGAGCCTTCATTCTTCAGTATTCGTCCTCTGTAATTTTGTGGATATCCTTGAGTTTTTTCAGGGTTTTATTTATCTTGTTCGTAACTTTCGCGGTTTGGTCGTTCTGCAGACGGCGCTATGTGGTTGTGTCATTTAGTACAGCGTTGGTTTTGTCGGTGTATTATTCCGCTTTCTCCAGAATGACTGTCATTTTCCCTTTGTCAGCTGGCGAAATAACGATGGTTTCGTCCGCTTTGAGGCTGCTTATTGCTCTTTTTTCTTTAGTAGATAAACCGTTGTGTGCTTTGTTTCACGTGATAGCTGGGACAACGGTTTGACGTATCGCATGCTGGGTTTCCTCATTGAGGCCGCTTCGGGACTAGCCAAATATTCTAGATTATCAGAACACTTGAAAGTGAAATTAAGCCCTTTGATAAGCACGCTTTCCTCTGCTGCCGTGAGTTGTCTTCTTAAGAGGTTCCTGATCCATGTTTCTTTGCCATTGTGCTCGGTTGGCTTGACTGGTCCGTAGAACTTGCGCTCAAGTGTGGCTCGTGAAGCCTACATTCTTAAGAAATAGCCTGATATGCTTTTGGTGTGAAAAAGTACACTCTCAGAATGGAGTATAGAGTACGTCCACCTGGTCTGAAAATATCACCCGAATGGAGTGAACTAAACTGAGTTCACTCGAGTGGGCTATTACAATTGCCCTGACAAAGGAAGACTGAAGTGCTCAATTGAAAGTGGTCTCCTCAACAAAACGAATGTATCCTCATTCCTCGCCACTTCATCTACATACAGTGACAGAAGCTTATGACGAAGAGTAGGAAAGTTTCATTCCCTTTGGAGATTATGACCACAATCCTAGTAGTTCGAATCACTACCGTCAGGCACAGAAGGGATAACACAGAATATAGTGCTAGTTTGCCCCGATAACACAGAGGTGTATCTTAACGCACCAGGGTTGACCGGATCATCAAGTAACATGACATGTGATGGTAATACGAAGTAAAAAGATTCCCTCCCATAAAGCACAGGGTTATGGAAAGGATTTGTATGTTTTCCTGGCTAAACTGTCCGGTAATTTTTTGCAGATCATTGAAGCCAACCTGTGCTGAAAAACCGAGAAGCAGTGTCAGCTGTCTCATACTTGACGGGAATCATCAGCAGTGCGCATCTCACAAAACTCAGAAAGATCTGAACCCGCAACCTTCCGGTCAGTGGTTGCACACCGTCTTGCCACGATCCGCCGATCAACAGTGAGTTCGTTCGGATGTAACACCGTTCCGGTGCCTAGCTGCCATGTCACGCCGAGGAAGCACGAGGGCTGGAATACTGCCAGGTTGCCAAGCCTAGACAGGGGAAGTCGAGAGGCGGCTGATGTCGGTTCGACCCCACGGACCTTCGGTCAGTAAATTCGTGCTCTAATTACTTTGCGGACAGGATAAAGTCTCTGCAAAACATAACCAAATCTCTTCACATCATCAGTAGGCTTGTATTTGTCCGCTGAAAACGGTGGCGACTGAGCTCATCAACTTCGAGCGGTGTTTTATGGTGCGGATCATCTATTTACGCTTGACTTTTGGAGCTTATAAGATCACAGAGCTAAGCTGGCAGTACCTAGTCTTCAGCAAAAAGGTAGGGGTTGTAGGACCCAACCGGGTTACAAGATGACTCAAAGATGCACAAATAAATCGATAGATAAATAATGATTATAAGCGAACATGCAAACTGCTCACCTCACACGAACTACTGTCTTATGCAGGTTCCATTATTTTACACAAAAATATATTGTTATGGAATGGTTCCTCTAGTAGCCCAGAAACCACTGCTGTCTAAAGGTGGAAAATTATGATACAAATCCGCTTTGTAACATTCGCGTTTTGGACCACTAGGACCAATTAAATCCTGTTGGGCGTCGGCCTAACCAGGGACGGTACACGAGGGACAAGTAAAGTTTCTCAACGGTGAACTGGAGATTCGAAAAAGCCTCCGACGAAGCGATAATTCAAGATGTGAATCTTGTCAGCACAGGGTTTATTACCTTGGTGTTACCCCTCCAATGCCTGGTGTCGGAAAAAAGATTCACCGACAAGAAACACAACAGCGTTATTGTGAACAACCGAGTGCGTACAAGTACAACGGCCTCGGGCTGTATTTTCGAGGGCACTGTTTGAGCTTGATCCAAGGCAGTCTCGCGCTATTTTTGAAGGGCACTGTCTGACCACGATCCGAGGCTCTCTCATCGGTGTTTGGTGGAGTTTGGGGGTCTCAGTAGGCTTCGGGAATTCTGGGATAATCTGACCTTCTTGACACTTGGATATTGTGTATTTAATTGAAAGCCATTGTTTAGGTCGGACGGGATATTTCATGTGTACCAGATAGCAGTGATCAAATCACACTTCAAGCCAACGTTTGCTCGTGCAGTTCTTTACATTCGTAACGAGCGTCTAAAGTCCAAAGTTTCTATGCTGCGTGGAATCTGGTGAGACTTGATGTAACCTATTTTGGATGCTGCAAGTTCAAGTAAACGGGAGAGGTTGGGTACTAGCTGATTACATAGGCATAGTGTACGTACGGCTACAATATGCAGTCAAAGTTGCTAGCGGTTCCGCGAAAGGCTGTACTAACATCAGTTTATCGGTTAAAGGGAGCCACTGCAAACACGTCCAGCCATTAGGTGCCTAGACTTGGCTTTGCTCAAACTTCATTAAGTAAGGATGGCACACACCCCTAACAGCTGCCAGGTGATGGTGCACTATACATGGAGCGACGCTGACGGATCCAATAAGAAACACTCACCGTTAGATAGACGAAGACACATGTGGTGTTGATCACGGTAAATGAGCGTTACACCCACCGTGGCAGTCCATTGCACCAGAGCAACCTCGTCGGGCGAGCTCGCTTGATATCCAACGGGATCAGCTGCTGACTGTACCTGAAAGTATCAGTTTCAAGCAAGAACAATCAAGATAGAAAAATGATGTTGCTGGTATTGCGTCTATGTATGTTTCGAATCGGAATTCACTCATATCACAACTAGATTTAGCACGGGTTAAGAACGGAATTAATAGGTGAGTCGACCAGGCTAGTTGTAGTAACTGAGTTCCCGGAGTAGTTCGATCCATCACACCGAAGGCAGCAGCCGGCGTACGACAATGTTATATCTGCCCTACCATAAACATCTGACAGACAGAACCGCACCCAGAGCATAAAGCAGCATGTTATTCTTACTTATGAATACACGCTTGGGATATCGTTCGTGAACTGTAATCGTTGGAGCGGCCAGTCTCAGATTATTCCCGCGACGGTTGGGGCAACCAGAGCCTCGACCCCCTTCAACAAGCGGAATTAGGGCAGGGGTTCTTCGACATATGCTCGCATACGTCTTCTTCGAGAAAAGATCCCACAACCAACCATAAAGCGCGGTACCTCAAACTCCTACGAGTTTCTTAGAGGTTTTCCAGTTCTCCATAGAGTGTTAATCTTCACGAACTTATTTTTGATTCGACGAAAGGCCAAAGACTAAAAAGTACTTCAGCAAGTAGTATCGCCAGGGGTTTAGACAACGAAATGTTGACTCGGGAATCAAACCACTCTCCGGCAGTCAGTCGGTCGCGGAGGGTTGGTAACAGGCCACCCGACTTCAAAGGTGTTTTCGCCAAACTGAATACAGCGAGGCGATTGAGAATCGAGTAAAATAAGGGAAGTTGTCGCCTTTTGCACAGGCTTATTCTACCTCTCCACCATAGTTGCTCCGTCGTTTCTCGCTTTCCCTTATTAGTAAACCAATAAAATTCCCCTTTGCATTAGGTCATGCCCACCTGTGTACAGCGGTTGCCAGAATCGGCTCGCGGAGATCCAACGAATCGAAAGAGCTAGTGACGATCCATAACGAACGTTTAAGACTCATTGTTGCACAAGATCTTTCGCCAGCTCGGTGCTGCAAGGCTCTCATGGATATTCGGTGTTCATGTTTGAATACCCAAAGATAAGGCCAGAGTACTTGTTTGAGTAGCCGATTTAGCGCGATTTTCGCACCTACAAGACCAGGTTCCCAAACCACTGCACTCTCATTAGTAACAGATTAGTGTGGAAGGTAGTAAACTTAAGGTAACCGCGGACTGTTACAGACTGTTACTTGCGAGGCAGTAGATCCCGAAGTACATCCATTTTATCTCAGTGTATAGAGTTTGAAACAGGAAAGGATGAGCGTATCAGGGAGATGAAAGAATGGGCCACACTCAATGCGTTTATGGGGTCCAGAAAACATGATACTCCATGAAGCGGAGCACCCGAAGGTATGATCATTTTCCTCCATTAAAGTGAGCAAGTGCCCACTTTCTTGGCTACAGTGTCATTTTGTAATGAGCAGAACACCCACTAGATGCCCACATCGAACAAGCAGGTTGATTCGAGGAACCCTAGATCGATGACGATAAACAGCACAAGTAACGAGTTGCCTGACAGCTAGTTAGCAAAAACCATAAAGAAATCGACGAGGACTCATGACGTCCAGCCCCAGCAGCTGAGTGGGTCTTGGACTACACAAAACAAGTTTTAAAAAAATCATCAAATCGGTGAGTCGAACCAGATGGAGTCTTGACAACGGAGCTGCCAAGGATCCTTACGCCATTCCAATTGGACTTCTACATCAAACGCCGGGACCAACACTAGTAATACTGGTGCACGACCGAGTGGAGCATTTACAATATCCGATTGAACAAATCAACAAGATTTATTATGTCGTGGAACATGATTCGCTAGCAGTAGTGAGTGCATCGTCGTGAAAATGCAGTAAACATACCATCCGGTTATTGTTTTCTGACAGAATTATGAGAATTACTGCGCAGCTCCAGCATAACACCTTATTAGAATATTTGAAGTGCACAATGAAAGGACATCGACACAACAGTGAAAAACCACAGGCGGGATCCTTACCCATTCCAATTGGACTTCTACATCAAACGCCGGGACCAACACTAGTAATACTGGTGCACGACCGAGTGGAGCATTTACAATATCCGATTGAACAAATCAACAAGATTTATTATGTCGTGGAACATGATTCGCTAGCAGTAGTGAGTGCATCGTCGTGAAAATGCAGTAAACATACCATCCGGTTATTGTTTTCTGACAGAATTATGAGAATTACTGCGCAGCTCCAGCATAACACCTTATTAGAATATTTGAAGTGCACAATGAAAGGACATCGACACAACAGTGAAAAACCACAGGCGGTTGCGGTAGGATTATTCAGCCACCTCGCCTCGCGTAGTAACCACGCTAAAGATGCAGTGGCCGGACGACAGTCAGTAGGGGACCAGGTGAAGGAACTAGGTATTCCAGCCAGCATTTGATCGACATTTGTTGGACATTCGCCTAAGGGCAACACAGAGGGTCTAACTGTGGGATGCCGCCGCGTACTGACAAATCAAGAAGATTTTAAGAAAATGTTTCTGCTGAAACGAATTCACATTTGTCTGTGGAAAGGATTCCTGTATTCAGCTTCACCGGCCGGATACAAAGCGTGACTGGCTTTAGAGGCCGTTGGGAAGGGGGACATAAGACAAATGAACAGAAAACTTGAACAGAACAGGCAAATTCTTGTAGGTGTTGAGCTGGAGAAACAAAAAACTGTAGCCTGAAGCCTACACGAATAGTTTACGTGCCATATGTTCCCAGTGAATTATTAGGTACATGAATTCCCTCGAAATGTGCGTACATAACTAAATTGTTAATTGGTTAACTCAAACCTCTGTGAGTACCCATTATAAGCCATATTTAGGTCATAGTTGAACAATCACAAGACCGTGGAATGCCAGTGTTACCGAACTGAAGCTCGTTAACTTAATTGGTTTGCACCGCCGACGACAACCACGTAGAACTGTTCTCAGCATTCGGTCGTTGATCTTGTCAATTCAAACTTGTAAACTTAGTGTATTTGATGGATTTCAACCACCGGGTATTGCCATCTTGTGATAAAGAGTAGGTGAAGGCGAGTCTGAGAGACAACATGACCTGAATCAAGATTCAACGTCTAACTGACATCTGATAGAGGTCGGATGCACATGATCCTTCCTTGAACTGATTTCAAACGCCTACTTAATACAAGCACGGGCCAGTCACCTGATTTCACTACAGCTCCACAGGATACACGAGTAACAGATACGCAAACATATACAGTGGTGTGCCTGCACAAACCAGATGACCTACAGAATGTTACGCTAAAAAAGCAAGATCTATGTAGGCCAAAGCACGAAACACTACATGGTTTTGTAACAAGGACCCAACACCCACAAGCCCCAGTGAAGGAAGCTGGTTAAACAGTCCCGTTAGTGCAATGCGAAACATTCGCTTGAGAATACACCAGGCTATGAAAACCGTCTCCAAATCACACTGTGCAGGCCTATCATTTCTCGCAACTCTTCAATAGACCAGTCCGACAAGGATCACCTGCCGGTTTTCTATGTTTCAGTGCTTTATCCTCCTACCCTGTGCGACTCTTGAAAAAACAGTTTGATTTACGTGTCTTACGAGCGTTCGCATAGGTAAAGCAGGACAGGGATTGATTCTGACAAACACGTGTGTATTGGTCGTTACATACGCACAAGTTTAATGCGAATTATGATAACATAAACTTGAAGTTGAGGTTACCGAAGTTAGAAAAGAAGAACCTGTTACTTGAGATGCAGAAGCTATGAGTCCGATAATACTGAGTGGAAGAGGCCGGAACAATGTAGCTTGCTTACACGACCCGTACTCGAAAAAGTGAAACACGATCAATTCAAAAGGATGACGTGCGATAAGTTACACATGAGCATCTACTTACCCACTCTAGCGGATTTTTCACGTCACCGACAGATTTGTCAACTTCAGAGTCATCATCAGTCATCGGGGTCACGTTGTGGCATAAGGCAACGGCCAAAACAGCGGCACTCATCCGCTCATTACCGGATCGGCGCATCTGGCGCCCAGCTTGGCTATCCGCACTGGATTGAGAAGCGAAGTGATGTTGCAGTCCCTGTGCGACTTCTTCCATGGAATCCGGAGCGAAAGCCACAGTGCCTAAATGTAGTTTTTTAAACACCATCTCATTTTGGGTAAGGGTGCCAGTCTTGTCGGACATCAAGTAGGCAATACGACCGAGTTCTTCGGGAATAGTTGTGTTACGAACCATACAACCGGGAAGATCTCGGTCCCGAATGACCATGAAAGAATAGACAATCTTTGCGAGGTCCATGTTGACACGAAGACTGAAAGCAAGCGTGGATAGGTAATGAGCACAACAAACAGATGAAACGTGCGTCAAGGGAAAACTGCGCATGGCTCTACAGAGGAGCGACGCAAACAAGAATCCTTATGAACCCAATTAAATACAGATTTCCAAAAACAAGTCGATCAACTAGAAGGGCGCCTGTTTAATAAATGAGGTGAAACGGGTAACCTTACAGGAGGAAATCCCTCTACGGATGTTCAGAAGGCTATGCTCTAAATACCTATAAATGCTTGTACAACAAAAGCTTCTTCCATTTAAACTTCTTTTGATTCAGTAAGCCCATACTATAAGCAACGGAATCAAGAGAAAAAAATGTATGGTACACTGGCTACCCTTATGATTTTCGCTAACCTGACGACCCTACTCCCAAATATCTGGAACCAGGGAAGAATATCGACAGAATGGAGTCCTTAGACAATGGTTTCTATATTCAAAAAGGGGTTCAAAAACATCGTGCGAAAACCACCGGAACATTAGCGATAGCTTTCAGGGTGTCCTCTGGTATTATTTTACGCAGATCGATCTATCATCGGGAGCGTCAACTCTTCTTCCATCCAGCAATAACTAGTGAATATTCTCCAGCTGTCAACTCCAGGAAGTATCTATTCCTTCCAGAACTTCTAAGTACAGTTGAGGTGGAGAATAAAAAATATGGGAAGTCGTTCAGCTGTAACACCCTTCCGGTGCCTAGCTGTCATGCTGCCCGAAGGAGGCACGAGGGCTGGGACACTAACAGGTTGCCCAAGCCTGGACGGGGGAAGTCGAGAGGCAGAGGTCGGGTTCAAACCACGAACCTTCCGGTCAATAAATTCTCACTCTAACCATTTGAGCAATCTCGCCTCCGTGGGAATCGCACGATATTTTAGAATGAAACAACTGTCCGAAGCGATTGGCCGTTCCCCATTGTTTTGTGTAGCAATCAGTTCTGAACGCAGCAAATTGAGACTAAATCACAGCAAGAATAATAAGGGAATCTTATTCGTATGGAAGCAAGGTTGATGGCAGCTAGTTTCACCTTAATGACATCCACCGATTCCTTGTTCACTTAGTTAGCTTACTCCGGTGAGAATGGACCTTAGGGCAATTAAAAGTGACGTGTACTAATCACCTTACAAGTGTTCGTACAAGGTTAAGAAGAGTGCGGTCCTTCCTTTCAAACAGTATGAGTGATCACTAGTTAGCTCGGCATAACTATGCTGGACGCCCTGGCTTATAGCCTGTGTGAATATAAACTTGAGCGGAGGGACGAACCTTACGTCCCTAAGACTAGGGTAAAGCTAACCCACTGCCTTGTGGATACCCGTTGGCTGATTAGGTAAAACTCGGTGAATTCTACACGAGGTTTGATGTGGCTAAAGTAATAGGTGGGCATTACGGAAGTGCATCATTCATTACAACCTTAACAGAGATTACGGTACTCATAAGTTGCTATTTTTTGGATTTAACAGGTACGAATTCCAAACCAAGATTAAACACTACGACGATCCAACGGCTTTGTTCATATGGAGGGTGGCAGGTACTTGCATTGCCTAACGTAAATGAAAATACCATACTTTTGAGGTCGATTAAAGTTTCCTTGGAATTGTGTCGGCAGGTTCCTGGAGCTGCAAAAAAAAGCGTCAACCAATAAGCCAGTCAGACGTTATGTGGTGACCATGACATCCAAGTGTATCATTGATTCAACCTCTGAATGTTATGAGAGTATGTAACGCTTTTTTTAAACGTTCCACGTGAGAAGAGCCGCTCCCCTAAGAACATAAGACAGGCTAAATATGGAGGCCTAAACACCAGAAATGGGAAACCTTGATGACGATCAGGGCACTTACGCCAGTGGGATGATGTAGGAGAACAGGACCATGAAGCGCCACCAATGTTTGTACCAAGCACCGCCAAAGCCTCTCAGTGCGACCATCACAAACGCCAAGACAACCACAATAGCAAACAATAATTTGATGATATTGTTGATCTCCCGATCAATTTTGCCCATTTTAGTACGTGCACGATTGGAATTCATCACAGCCCGCGTCTCGTTGCCCGTATAGATCACTAAGCCAATGGCGCTGCCGGTTGCCAATACCGTGTTCGACCATAGTGTGTGATCCAAATTGAGTGATACTTCAGTCTTCTCCGGTCCGATATCACCTGGTGCGGCAATATCTGTTCGAGCAAAAGTCCCTTCGAATAAGTGAATGTTTTGCCGAGGAGCCTCAGCGAACACCTGGGCCTGTGATGTGTGTAGAAGATGGAATGCAAAAAAAATTATGGCCATTGCTTGTAGGGCAGCAAAATACGGGAATGAGACTCTTACCAAATTGATCCTGAACATACTATGCACATTTAAATAGCAAAAGAGATATGACCACTCATACGCTGAACGATACATACACAGACATACAGATACATGCAAAGGCGTACAGAAACGATACAGGGAGCCCTAGAGTTCGTTTCTAATGGTTCAGCGGTTAGAGCGCGAATTTACTGACCAGAAGGTCTGTGTTTCGAACCCCACCTCTGCCTTCGACTTCCCCTGTCTAGGCTTGGGCAAAGTGGCAGTATACCAGCCCTCGTGCTTCTTTCTATTGGTAAGGGCACCAAACGGGTGATACGGCTGAGTGATTTTTTCAAGAACTACTACAGTGGAGAAGGCCGAATTAACTCCATAAAATGTGACTGGTAGTGATGCACCATCACTTTTCAATTAATCAAGAACACGTCCCTTAGTCAGACTGAATACTTCGCACTGATTATTGCAATGAACACAGCTACAAAATGTTCAACCCAAGTGAGCATTTAGAGTATTCATTTGATAAGTAGGCTCTGATATAACTTTGATCCTACGCCGTTTAAAACATGCGGCTGTATGGAGTCAGGTAGAAAACAATGACCGGGGTCTCAGAAAATAAACGTGAATGCTTGTCGGGGTGTTGTCGTGTTGAGGGAAAATAAACCATTGCTGATGCATAGATGTACGCCCTAAATTTCTCTGAAACCATAGTTTGAACGAAGGAAAATTTGACAAAGTTTTAGCATTTGATGATATATGTTGGAAACCTCAAAATCTCCCCATGCGATCACGGTTTTATCGGAAATAGTTTAAACACACTAAAGGACCACTATGGACGCGGAATTCATTATTTCTAAGGGCAACCATGGCTCAGCGTGAGTTGCCTGTGAAGGTGAAGTTAGCTTTTCTGCATATTTTCTCATTCATTGTATTCGGAAATGCTTTGAAAGCGTACATGAGAAATAATTCCGTAGTGTTCAGCCGCGTAAACTGAAAATGGAGCAGCGATTCGCGACTTTTGTACAAAAAGCTCCCCAACGTTGCAGCAGGCGTTCCGCTAGACAAACACAAGCATGCGGAACTCTAGCAGACAATTTCCGATCGCAGCCGGTACATATTTCACCGTATGATTCGCTTTGATAACCCGGCTAAGTGACTGTGCACCGGACAATAATCGCGAAGATTTCGCCATGATTTACAGATCCTGCGTAAAACCGGCCCCGAATTTGTCTCTTATCTGAGTGATTATTGGTTAAACAACACTCGAAAGTGGGACATTCGTGGGTAGCGCCGGTTGGTAGACTTCGGAAATGTGATCAATAAGCGTCTTGGGGACGTAGACGGGCGTTTAACAAAAGCGCATGTACCATGCCAAGAACCTGAGACACGCCATCCAGAAAGCCTGGGGGCAGTGAGTGGATCATAGGCGCATATGAGATGTACACCGTTTATCACCGTGACTACCGAGAAATTTGGGAAGGAGACAGCTGAGCTCTTCTTGTGGGTCCCCAGATGACGTTGTAGGCGGTCAATCACGCATACTGACACGTGCATGCCAAATCTGATGTACCATCTGACAGACCGTTCATGATGAGAAACACACCGTTATAAGCAGTCGTCTTTTGGTACAAACCAGAGTTCGGTCGCTACCTCATCAATGTTTACCTTCAACCACTCGTAATTTGTTTAACACATACACACCCACTATTTCACTCCTGTTTTGATTGTCATGAACATTCGCCCCGTGACTAACCGAGATTTCTGGAACCTTATCATGAGACAAACAATGCAAGCGCCTACTCACACACAATGTGAACTTATACATATGTGAAACAACGACAGCAGAATGCCGACGCTCGTCACCTCACACAGCGCCTTGACCAGAGTCGATTCGAACCTACGCACGACTCAATGCGCGGGAAAATTCTGGGCTCGATATCGTTTGGATTAAACGACAAGCAACAGGCCGGATTTCAACACGCTCGATCAAGACCCTCATTCAATATGATTGCGTCTTGCAAACCTCGACATCATCCACTATACATAATTGTTCGTTGTTAGTGTTATTCACCTTCTGACATTACTTCGAGTAAAAGATAATAGCACTAACAAATTGGTGAGCCCGATACATCAGTACTACCATGTCAGACGCTTCAACATCAGTTATGCCCCCCAACTAACACCCAGCACCCAGCACCAATGCCGCCTCAATTCATCTTCCACCCTTCTGGCACCACGACCCTCGCATTTGGTTTACGTAGGTGCAGGCACAGCTCACTCTGCGAAGTATCACTCAAGAACACACTATGCACTATCACGATACGATCATCGATTGTACTACGCTTTCATGATACCAACAATAATTGGATGTATGGTGAGAGTTTGACGAACCTGAGCGTGGTCGTTTGCGTGCACGATAGGGAAAATTTTTACGGGGAGCACGCTTAACGGATAAAATGGCAACTTGACGTGCCAATTTTTCAATTTGGGGGTTGATGAGCGTGAGTGTGGGAGTGATCAACTGCGTTTATGCTGGCATAACCAGGGTGAATCTCTAGTATTTTATCTGCTATACTCGCAAGTTGGGACAATAGCACGCTGTCAGTATTAGCTGCGAGAATGGATTGAACGTGTGTCGGAAGCCTTTTGAGAAAAAGTTGGCAGAGTAGTGCGTCGTCAATTTTTTTATCGCCCAATATATCATAGAGGTGACGTAAGAATTGAGGTGGTGTACAGCCATCTAGCGTCTCACCAACAATCAGCTGTTCAAGTCTTTTGTTCCCGAAAGCGTAGTACGGGCGATGATCGTATCGCGTAATTGAGTGCAAGGTTTGGCGCTGTCTGGGACCATCAGGATGTCACGCAGATCTGCCGCTATTTCCGCTGGAAGTATAGCTAACACATGATAGTGCATAGTGTGTTCTTGAGTGATACTTCGCAGAGTGAGCTGTGCCTGCACCTACGTAAACCAAATGCGAGGGTCGTGGTGCCAGAAGGGTGGAAGATGAATTGAGGCGGCATTGGTGCTGGGTGCTGGGTGTTAGTTGGGGGGCATAACTGATGTTGAAGCGTCTGACATGGTAGTACTGATGTATCGGGCTCACCAATTTGTTAGTGCTATTATCTTTTACTCGAAGTAATGTCAGAAGGTGAATAACACTAACAACGAACAATTATGTATAGTGGATGATGTCGAGGTTTGCAAGACGCAATCATATTGAATGAGGGTCTTGATCGAGCGTGTTGAAATCCGGCCTGTTGCTTGTCGTTTAATCCAAACGATATCGAGCCCAGAATTTTCCCGCGCATTGAGTCGTGCGTAGGTTCGAATCGACTCTGGTCAAGGCGCTGTGTGAGGTGACGAGCGTCGGCATTCTGCTGTCGTTGTTTCACATATGTATAAGTTCACATTGTGTGTGAGTAGGCGCTTGCATTGTTTGTCTCATGATAAGGTTCCAAAAATCTCGGTTAGTCACGGGGCGAATGTTCATGACAATCAAAACAGGAGTGAAATAGTGGGTGTGTATGTGTTAAACAAATTACGAGTGGTTGAAGGTAAACATTGATGAGGTAGCGACCGAACTCTGGTAAAGTGGTTGAGGATAGACGTTGACGGGATGGTAACCTACAGAATCACCACTGCACAAGGCATTAAGTTATCTTTTATCATTACGCTTGACGGGCGTAACGCTAGTCAACTATCCAACTGGGTTGAATTTGCATTGGTATTCTGTAGATGTCATCTGCCATTTAAAGAAAACCGCGGATTGTAAAAATATGCAAGGATTTGATTTTCTGGTTTACCTCCTGAACTGGTAATCACATGCAAATCAGCGGTGGTCAGTGACCTTGAAAGTACTCTCGCCTAACCAAAATGCTATGAGCAACAAATCACTGAAACGTGCAACCGGATTATACTAACTCGACGTAAAATTCGCAACTTCGGGAACTCCTTAGTTTCACCAAGATTGATTTCGGTTTACTTCTAGAAAGAGGCTGAAGCATTTTATGGCTCGAGGCGACAGTTTACATAGTTCGCGGCTGATCAGCATCTTGGACCCTCCTTACAAAGAGACTTACAAAGAGACGGAGACTCCCAGGAGGGACCTAATACTCCACTTTCTCATACTGGTTTATCTTAAATAGGGGCATTTTGCACAAAAGATGACAGCTAATGCGATGGGTGGGTTTATTGGACGAAAAAGAGCATGTGAATATCGCGCTGCTGTCTACCCAATGCACGTCCGAGATTCCAAGGCTTTGGACTGTGGAATCTTTTTCAGCATTTAGCATTCGTCCAGTAAGTAAAATATTGGAAACACAACTCAGAAAAATTTACATTTGATTTGTAAAAACCAACTCCCTAATAAAAATTACCGAACAGGGAACACGTATTTGCAAAGCAATGCAATTTTCACTGCAATGCAATTATGGGATCTGAAGGGTCTATCTCGGGTGAACCAGTTTATTTTATAGACCATGAGAGTACGGTTGCATATCCAGAAACACTTATTATCGAACGGGTTTAGGTTGATCATGACACGAGTGTATCGGTAACAAACAATCATCCTGGTTTGCTCGATATAGTCAAGAAATAAGGTCTACAATTCCGCTGACGTAAGCAAAGATGTAAAAGGATGGAATGGTATCACGCAATACGGTCAGTTTAAATGGCAACTCGAATTGGCATTGTGATAAACGGAACAAAAATGCCAGTTGACCGGGAATACGCTAATAGCAAAGCAATACCCTTATTGCTTTCAACGCCCACTAATGTCCACCTTCACTCCCTCCATCCTCCTCTCGATAAAACCCATTGCAGGACTTATGGTTTGTAGTGTGCACACCTGCGAGTATATCCACCTACTTGGCAAGTTAATCAATTCATGTGATGCGTTAAACTGAATTCGGAATGAGAAATGCAACGCATACTAGGCGTCATGAATAGGAGTAACGTCGATTGAACTCATTAAACAAACGTACGCTATTCGTACTGTGGCAGTTACGGCCCGACAAGGTCAACAAACAACAGCGGATGAAACTATCTGATGCAAACTATACTGCACCGTTGGACTGGAACATGAATCGAGAAAATCAGCTGTCCTGCCTTGATAAAAATCTTCTGCTGGAATGCAGGCAACTTGCTTCGACATAGCTGGGGAGCTGAGCTGTGGATCAAAAGAGCCCGAAAAATAAATACAAGTGGAAGGGGGTTGACATTGCTTACCTGCATGTCGAAAAGTGCGCTCGGTAGACCCACACTGTTAACGAATGTCTGGGTTGTAGGAATTGCATGCCTCAATTTCCAGTCCGTTTCCCCATCTAGTTGGTCAGTCCGAATGAAACAGGACCCGTTCCTGTCGGAAGTCCACAAGAGGACCATATCAGCAGGGACGCGCTGGTTCTTCTCTAAAGAAATCATATCACCGACCTTTAGAAAAAACAGAAAGTAAGGCCCAAATAAATCGCTGAATGCAGCTCCTCATTATGGGTCGGCAGAGTATGGTGATAGATGCGTTACTACGGAGGATTCAGTGGTGTTACATTCCTCACGGAGCAACCTAAGACAAGAAACCATGGCAATGGATAATTTCCCCAGGTAACTTAACGTATAGGAAGGACATAATGCCTACCAATACGTTATGCATGCGGTATCATCAACTACCGGGACGAGTGCTACCTTCTTGGGAATGCCGAAAACTGCGAGGCNAATTGGAAGAGCGTGCCAAAAGAAAAACAAGAATGTTGGTTGTTGAGGGTGCGGTCCTTCTACCAGAATGGGGTCCTCGTGACCCTCCATGTGCTTCGCTTGGGACATTGCCAGAAGTGGCGTTTAAACAACCTCAGCAGAATTTGTGCCGCTGGTGTCTCTCCATATTGTCCGATTGAACGTTTGGAGGGAGAGGCACACCAAAATATTTGCGGTAGGCTAGCATTAGGTCTCTTACTTCTTTTTTTCTTCTTTTCTTTTTTTCATCCTAGAGCTTTAAATAGAATTGGACGAGCCCTGTTGTTGTACGGCAGAGAAGCGTCAATCTCTCATGTGAATGATAATGATGACAGGAGTGGATGGTGATACGACAGTGACAATAGACACCTCAGAAACCATACCTTAATGTCCGCGCTGGTCACGCGGACCTGTCCGTGTCTCATAATTTTGCCATATATAGTCTGATTGACCTCACGATCACGTAGGAAACGGCGTATGTCATCGATCGCTTCGCGAATTAATGTGACACACAGAACGAAGCCCAAGGGACCCCAGTAGGTGTACAGCGCTCCAACTCTGAGGTCCGGAATAAACTGGCTGCATGCCAGAATCAGATAGATGAGGTTTAAAAAGATGCTGAACTGTTCAAAAAGTACCTGACAGGAGGTGAATAGAGAGAATGGATCACGTGCATTGGATGGAATGGAAGAAAAATACCGGGATAATGTGGAAAGATTCACACGGACGTGCTGAATACCAATGAATGGACCAACAACCGATATCAAGGAAAGCGTCCCACCACACCACTAACTCTGACTTACATTATAGTCCAATCAAGGAATGGGGCTGAGGTACGACAAAACAGCTTTTTTCGAAGGTCCATAAAGGATTATACCGGTTAACAGGTTTATCTTTTTATCGGTTAGAAAAGCGAGACAATCGATCCAGAGACAATACAACCGAGGTCCCTAATGTGGACAGAGATTCCGGAGCTGGAGACCGCAACACACTGAAATTAATAGCAGTAGTAAAAGTGTCTGTTGTCCTTGCTTATGCTTCCTCCCGTGTCGCTACTATTAATCTGAGAGCTCGAGGTAACTTAGTAGTTATGGCGTGAACCTACTGGCAGGAAGACTCGTGGTTCAAACCCAACCCCAGTATCTTGACCACTCCTATCTGGGCTTGAGCAATCTGCCTGTATCCTAGCCCTCGTGCCTCCCTCGGGTGGCATGGCAGCTGGGCACCAAAAAGAAGTTACAGCTCAGCGATTAACACTAGTTGTGAATTGCTAATGTAGTCACAAAGCGACCCAGTTAAAACCTGTGTATCTACCGATCTCATTGAGAAAAATCAACTGTAGTGTTTACAGTAACACGAAACTCCCAAATTCGATGCGTTGTGTAATATCGCACCTTTTCGCCCCTATATTTCAAAGTTCAAAAGGTCGTGGGTTACAGCATCTGGTGTGCTTAAAATACCACAAGTTTTAAACGTTGCAGGACGATGCGAAGCAGAATAATACCGAACCAAAGCCAAACTAGGGTTGAGAATCATGAGTTGTGTAGCTTAACCATTTCGGGTCATCAGTTGACAAGCGAGAATGATTATTTGACCCATTAGATCAAACGACGCGGAGTGTAAACCTACGAGCAGCACTCGTAAAAGTTGAGTGCAAAAATCACCAACAACACCAAGGAAGAACACGGATGCCTTACCGCAGTAAAGACATGTCAAATTTTTCACGAAAAGCATAGGAGAAGAATGAAAAATGGGACATGGAGAGGCTAACCTACCACAAACATGCAAGTTAACTACACTCCCGACACTCCGTCATATAATCTGGATGGAAACTGATATAGGTTAGCCGCCAAAGCTTTAAGTGTGCCCGTTCGTGTTCAGGAGAGAGGCGTTGGAACGTAGTGGCACGAGAGTTTCCATGGGAAGAGGGTGCGACCAAAACCGATAGACCGAAAGACTTATCGGTCCAAACATAATAATGAAAGTATCCAGCAAGCGCTGCCCAATTTGGTGGTGGTGACAACCTGGCTTCAGGTACCAGCTGGCGGGATTACACGTCCCATCAAGGCCGAAGATACCAATGGATGATACGGTCTAATAACAGCGAATTTTGGGTCTAGCGTTTTCTTCTTTTTTGTTAGGACCTGACAAAGTACTCGCTCCAGAAAATGGGTAGGGAGCTAACACAAATGATTTAGACAGAAGACCACACACACCGACATAAGGGGTAATTCCGACTCCTCTAAAAACAGCAAATTAGTGCTCATGGATCATTATTTCGATTAATTTTTCACGTAAATGTTACCTTTACATCCTCCTGGCGCTTCGCAGCTTAGTAATAATTATAAGTTTGTGGTACATGTATCGTTCGCTAATAAAAACGTCACACGATTCTGTAAGATGGATTGAGACCAGAGATACTAGGAGATAGTTCGGCAACAAATTATGTGCGTGTTACCTGAACCATAGGTACCATAGACAGTTGTGACACCAGCAGAAAGGTCCAATTTTTCGCGTTAGCGGCGTGTAATGTAATCGGCTCAGGTGAGACTGTAGCCAAGTCATAAGATGTTAGGGAGGGTGAGAGAGAAATGAGGGTCTCTGATGCATACAAATTAACAGCGTTCAGTATACTCATTTTTGCTTTCACCACATTGAGCTAATTTGGAATACCCCATTTATCTGCAAGGCTCATTGTAAACCAACTCGTTGTGCGATCGTGTTCAAGACCGCCGATCCTTTTGAACTACGCATAAGGACTCCTGCATTGCGCACGTGTTGCAACTTAATTCCCTACAACCGAGATGGAAATCATTCACCAGTATGATATTAACCCATCCGAAGATGCAGCGTCAAACAAGTCTGTTGATAGTCGTGTAGATAACTCGCCAAATAAAGACCAGCGTGAGATTCGCAAAGCCAGGAAATTCGGCGTTTGACTGCGTGTATCCCAAAAAAGCCGCGATCCAGTTCAAGTCGGGTCTCTCAGTGATCGACGTTCCTAATCGAGGATATGCAAAATGGGACGGAGATTGGAAGCAGTTAAACTCCTTTTCAACCTATCCGCAACAGCGGAACAAGCAAGCTTCCGGTCACTGAATTGAACACAGAACAAGACGACCCAAAAAGTCTCGCCATCTAGTTCAGTGAGCGTGAAACTTCGAAGAACAAGCTGGCTGATCTGATGTGCCATGCTTACAGTCAGTGCATCAACACCGCCACTCTGGGATATGATCTGCTCGATGCAAACAGAAGATGAAGTCAAAAGGGGGAAATGCAACTTGTGAAAAGGAACACAGCATCTGGTCCAAGCCACCATTTGTTTTGTCTCGTGTAGGGATCGAAAATGGATTTAACCNACAACTCTTGCACATAGGAGATAGAAAGGTGTTAAATAACCGTGGTAACTTTTCTGATACCACTTCATGTATAGAATGCTAACAATTGTTGTCTTCTTGTATCTGAAAATACCGTTTGTCTTGTTGAACCGCATGGCTTTGCAACAATGTTCTATTCCAGACATCTCTGTCGCTAATGCTCATCGGCGTCTGAAAGTTTACATAGAGAGGAACACCAACTTGAGTTCACCACAAGTTGTGTTCCTCAAGACTATCTTTTTCCGCTCATTTCCGACCAGGTCATCCAATCAATTACCGAAGAAGCTCCTGCTATGTTAATTAACCCGGGCGTAGAAAGACTTTATAGGGGAAACCTGAAAGACCGGGACTTACTGGCAACAACGCAATACTTGGTTCTCCCGGGTATGCGGCACATGAAATAATCCAATTAAAGACGTCATGAGATTTTCGTACGTGCCTTAGACCTTCGATGTACAAGATGCTATTACAAGACGAAAACTGATCAGTGTATCAGAATCTATAGATAAATTGGAAGAAGTTACTTATCCGGGTAGTTGCGTCACGTTGGAAGGCAACACCTCCGACGAAGCGAATGTCAGGATAGTCAAGGTCCATTCTGTTTTTTTTCAACTTGGGCATCAGTTGGTGGAGGGCAGAGTCTACGAGAAAATGATAAGTCCAGTGTTGGTTTAGGATTATGTGCTTCTAGGAACAAGGAAGACTACTTGCGTCTGATCACAAGCACCTTCGAGAATTGTATATGCTTCACGCTAACATCAGAATAACGCTGAAGCGTGATTAATGGATTTTAGCAACAAATTGGCTGCTTGTGCAGTCGATGAGTTGATTCGACTGGACCATCTACGCCGACCTGACGCAACCGATCACCTCGTCCTGCCGTTTTCTTAAACAGATTCCGACTGAAATATTCCGTTCTACACGGTGAGTAACGCGAAAAATTACCACTGAGTTTTAGCTGAACCGGCGCATTTCGTCCCCGAGGGTGGGGCATCGGATACCCACCACATTGTTGGTCTGAGGTATTGAATGTAAATAAAGAAATCGTCCAGCTGTGGTACCCCTTTGAGGTATAGCTGTCATGAAAAGCGAAGGAAGCATGACGGGAGAGAGAATGCCAGGTTACTCAAGCCTTGGAAGGGGCAGCGGAAAGCCAGTGTTTGGTTCGAACCACGGATCTTCCGGCCAGTAACTTCACAGTCTAACCACGCAAGCTCAGCACTCACCAACATGGAAATGTCACACAGCCAATGATGTTGTTCTGTCCACCCTCTTAGTCTTAACCCAAAATTCTTTCGTTCTTATTTGTCTTCTGTACTCACCGTCCTACTTCACCATAAACTATCTGCTGTTACAAGCTACGGCCACTCGGTTGTCAAACTGAACGGAGCAGAATTTAGTGGTTTTTAGTTTTCAACAAATCAGTAAATCACTCTTTTGGATCTCCCGCTTTTTACTTCGAAAAAACCCACGGTCAACTTGGCTAACGGGCAATGAATGTATGCAGCGTGGTAAACATGACCACACCCACATGGGGAATAGCTGCCACGCCACCCGAAGGAAATACGAGGGTTGAGATACTGATAGGTTGTTCACATCTAGGCAGAGGTGATCGAGATGCCATGGTTGGGTCAGAACCACAGACCTTCCGGTCCGTAAGCTAGCTCCTTAACAAGTGAACTACTTGAGCCCACTCACTTTTCAACTGTTCAGTAGACTCGCCCGACTTAATGAACTCATGAACACCCAAATGTTACTGTGCACTTGTACCACTACCAGTAGATACGCAAGATTTAACTCAGGTTCCCTGAACGATCCAGTTCAAGTCGGGTCTCTCAGTGATCGACGTTCCTAATCGAGGATATGCAAAATGGGACGGAGATTGGAAGCAGTTAAACTCCTTTTCAACCTATCCGCAACAGCGGAACAAGCAAGCTTCCGGTCACTGAATTGAACACAGAACAAGACGACCCAAAAAGTCTCGCCATCTAGTTCAGTGAGCGTGAAACTTCGAAGAACAAGCTGGCTGATCTGATGTGCCATGCTTACAGTCAGTGCATCAACACCGCCACTCTGGGATATGATCTGCTCGATGCAAACAGAAGATGAAGTCAAAAGGGGGAAATGCAACTTGTGAAAAGGAACACAGCATCTGGTCCAAACCACCATTTGTTTTGTCTCGTGTAGGGAGAGAGAATGCCAGGTTACTCAAGCCTTGGAAGGGGCAGCGGAAAGCCAGTGTTTGGTTCGAACCACGGATC